TCTCCAAATGCAGAGCTTTTGTCTTTATATGAAAAATAGAGGACACCTCTGTCTTTATATGAAAAATAGAGGACTCCTTTGTCTTTATATGAAAAATAGAGGACTCCTCTTTGATTTTTCTATTGGCCTCCAGTGCTTGATTTAGTCAGCAGAGCCAAGCCGACATAAAAGTTAGGGAAAAGGACTTCAACGAATCAGGATCCCCAGCATCCACATAAAAGTAGGGTATGGCGGCATGTGCCTGTAACACCTGTGTTGAGGTAGGGGGTACATATGCATGTGGACACAGACAAATCCCTGAAGCTCACTGATCAGTCACCCTAGCTGAGGAAAGACTCAGTGAGATTTGATGAGAGCTTCCACTAAAAAGAACATGAAAGGTGACTAAAAAGGACACTCATACACACACACACACACACACACACACAAAAAAAAAAACACTCACACACACACAGAGAGAGAGAGTGAGTGAGAGAGAGAGAGAGAGAGAGAGAGAGAGCGCAGGATGGTGGAATCAGAGACTACAAAATCTGTAGCAGGTTACATCAACTGATCCTTGCAAAAGAATAGGCTATAGCCAAAACAGGTTGCCAACATGAGATTTTAAAATCTCCAGGTGAAAGAAAACCAAATGGAAACTGTACAGTGAAGCCACAGATGTTTGACTGCTCCAACTCAGGGACGATCACAGAGGGACGATCCACCAGCAGTGGCCGTGATCTGGGGGGAAGTGAGCACAGTATCTTGGAAAGATGGGGGCAATGTTTGTATTTACGTAAACAAAAGGAACAAAGGAACTTCTGAACTCACAGACATGAGCTACTATGCCCAGCATCTCTGTGGGTGCTGGGATCTGAACTCAGATACTAGTGCTTGCCTGATAGCAAGTATCTACTGACCTGTATCCTAAGGCCAAGTGCTGTACTTCCAAGGGAAGGAGAAACTGGGGAGGGGGAAAGGGTCACACTGGATCCAGGAGCAAATGGACATAAGTGGGAAAAAGAAGCAAAAAAGAAAGGATAGAATAAGAATAAAGATTGCCATGTATATCCAAAATTGTTGTTGATGGAGCCAGAGAAATGTCTCAGTGGTTAAGAGCTCTGGCTGCTCTTCTAGCAGACCTGGATTCAATTCCCTGTACCCACACAGAGATTCACAACAGTTTGTAACATATTCCAGGGAATCTGATGCCCTCTTCTGGTCTCCACCAGTACCTGGCATGCATATGGCATGCATACATACATATATACATACAGGCAAAACACCAATAACGTAAAATGAAAATAAATTAAATCATTAATAATATTATTGATTACAATTAATATTTTATGATTATAGTCTTCCAAGATGACTGTGCTAGGCAAAATGCATAAATGAAAGCCCTTTAAACCATAAAGCAATTAATGTTGTAGGGAACAAGCAAAACTTGCCAATAGTACTGCCTCCCATGCATGTTCTAGGACAGTTCAGCCAGGCATGCTCAGTCCTAACCTGCTAAAAATATCAAGTCAACACAAGAGATATATTTTCTGTGTGCATACAATTTAATTTTTCTTTTTTAAAAAAGCTAATAATGTGAACATCATAGGAGACATAAAAAAAACCCTTTCCTTTAATTCTGAGGTTAAAAATAAAATTAGCCCAGATCCTTGAACTCATCTTTATACACTCTTGCACATGTCCAGTCAACAGGGAAAGTCTGTTTTCCTGCCTCTGGAATCTACTCTTTGCTAAGCCATCTGTACTGTGACAAGCAGAGGTTTGGCCTGCATTTGAGCAATCATCCTGAGGTCACCTTGTGAGTAAGCCCAGGCTAGCCTGCTGGAGGAAGGCTATGATACCTGGTGGATGACCTCCCACCTGTGAGCACATACAGTCCAGGCCATAACCACAGACCACGGAGCAGAAAAAAAAATGTCTGAGGTCCTAATCCCAACATTTTGAGGTGCTATGTTATAAAAAAATAACAATACCTTCAATGATTTTGGATAATTTGTTTCATCTCTTTGAACCTGCCTCCCACTTCTAGCATGGAAACCTTTTATGCGGGAGGAGAGCCTAAGACTCAGGCTGCCTTGCTAGGCTGGCATGGCTGCTATGGTTGATCTTGTCAACTGGAATTGATTTAGCATCACTTGGGATGGTGTTCCTAGAGAGACTTAGCTGAGGAGGGATGATATGCCTTGAACGTAGGTGGTACCCTGTTCTGGGTTTCTTGTACTGATAAGGAGAAATAATTAAGCCAAATATACACTACCATCATCTCCTTCTCTGACTCAGATCCCAGCTGCTGAAGCAAGGGAACCAGACACCTCAGTTCCCACCACCAATGCCTTTTAAGCATGGTGGGCTGTAGCCTCTCAAACCATGAGCAATATACACCTTTCTCTCCTTAACCAGGCTTTTGTCAGAGCAAAGAAAACAACAATGAACATGAAGGCTTCTGGTTCCTCCCTCAGCCCCATCCCAGTAGTTCCTTATAAGTAAGCAGAGATGTCCCATTGGTTTCTCCTGGGCATTCTCAGGAAAGAATTCCCCCACCAGCCACTGCTACATCCCTATCAGAGAAAACATTTGTTTATGTGGACTTGGATGTGGCAGTCCAGCCAGGTCTTGAGCTATAATCATGTGATCACCTAAAGTCAGTCTGTCATCTGCAGCCCCTCAAGATTATTTCCCTGTGCTGCGTGAAAATATTGGATTCAACGGTGTTGGTTGAACAATCTTGTTCTCCCCAGCACAAAACACACCTTCTACTGGTCCCTACAAATCAGCATCCCATCAAACCTCTGAAAAGTCATCAGATGGTGAGTTCAGCTCTCCCCTCAGACATGTGAGCTAAGTTGATGACAGTATTGCCCACGGTGGAGCTTTACAGTTTACGTTCTATCTCGCTACCAAGCCTACATCATTTCCATGTGCTCACATGCACTCTTCGTCCAGTGTAGACATAACTCAAGACTTTGAGCTCTTGTGTTTAGAGGGGCTCACTATTTGTGGCAAGATTTCCATTTCCCATTGTGATGACACTAGACTGAGAGCAGAATAGTTGAGTCCCACGGTCATCTGTGTTTCTGTCCTGAGTCTCCGAAGCCATTCCTGATGAACTGTGTCCACCCCAGTTAGTCGAGTACATGTTTCAAAACCTGAAATAAATTTTAGAAAAGATTATTTCTGGTTAATAGGTTCCAGGTCCTCCTGGGCCTCCTGGGTCTCCAGGGCCTGGAACTCCAATGGGACCACACAATCCTGCACCTTACAATCCAAGATCACCTGGTCCAGCTCCTCATGGTCCTCCCCAGGGATGGGGAAATGCATATCCTCATTGGCAGCAACAGGCTCCTCCTGACCCAGTGAAGGCAGGAACAGATCCAAATTCAGCAGCTTGGGCTGCTTACTATGCCCACTATTACCAACCTCATGCACAACCCCCGCTTGCAGCTCCTGCAGTTGCACCAACTACAGCCCAAACTAATGGTCAAGGTAACTACGGAGATCAGCAGAACCCAGCTCCAGCTGGACAGGTTGATTATGCACAGGCTTGGGAAGAGTACTCCAAGAAAATGGGTCAAGCAGTTCCTGCTCCTACTGGGGCCCCACCAGGTGGGCAGCCAGATTATAGTGCAGCCTGGGCTGAATACTATAGACAACAAGCAGCATACTATGCCCAGACAAGTTCCCAAGGAATGTCACAGCATCCTCCGGCACCTCAGGTATTTGCAAGTCATGCAAGAAGCCACCATCATTTATATTAACCAGTTTTTCTTTCTTAAAGGATTCACCCCTGTATTAGTTCCATTTAAAGGATTTTCTTTAACTATTTGTGTATCTCTTATGTATCTCTTCTGCACAGGGCCAATAATAAGAAGTGGACAATACAGTATTTGTCTCATTGTGTGTGGGGGGAAAAAATCCTTTGTTAAATATATGGATGCACAACTTGATGAAGATCTTAATTTTGTTTTTGATTTAAAGTAGTGTTCCCCCTTTTTTATTTGAAAATGTACAAAATATCTATCACTACTGATAGAAGGTTAATATTTCTGTGTAGAAATGAAAATTGGTTTGTTCTTAGTCTTTAGTGTAGATGTACAAATTCCAGCAAATGTATTTGCAACTATTATGTGCAAAATGCCTGTTTTGTACTTTACAATAAATGATATGAAATCTCAAAAAAAAGTAGACTCCAAGTTTGAGTAAAATACTGGAAGAGACAAATTAATTAAACATTAATTATGGCTTAAAATAAATCTTCCAAAATCCTTAATGCAATTTGTAGATTGTCACAATACCCTTAAATATAGGCAGAGGAAAGTAACTTCATAATTTGATATTTCCAAATAGCATATTCCAAGTTTCTGGTTTGTATCCAAGGGTTTGTTGCCACATTTCCTATGCTGAACAGATAAATAATTTATGTGCCCAAACCATCTATACATGATACAACAAGCTCATACTTCTGAAGAAAATAAACATATGTTCAGCAACATAAAAATAACATATTGAACAAATAATGATTATTAAGTTTTTAATATGGCATCCAAGACACTGGCAACCTATTAGGAGTTAAATGTTTCCTCAGAATCTAGTTATTGTCTTTGCTCAGAATTTAATAACCCAGAGGTCAGTGCTGAACATGCAGGATACCGTGTGTGCCATACATACTACAGCTACACAGCTGTTTCCAAAGTAAACACTGGGGATTTTGTTATTTGTTTGACTGTTTGTTAGTTGTGCCTGAGAACAGTCTCACATAGCCCAGGCTGGCTTCATGTTTGCTGAGATTGTTCCCCAAAGCCAACTGAGCTCTATCTCTAGCCTGATTTGTCTTTACCTAGGTGTCTCATATGCCAGTTAGTAAATGGTATTTGGTGATAGGCTGTGGTTTTGAAATTTTCCTACTAAAGTGCAGCTTTTCTTTTCCCACCTCTCTCCTCCTCCCTCCAGTCCTCTCTCTCTTCCCCATTCTCTCTCCTTGTGCGTTTCTCATGTTGCCCCTCCCTTCTTTCCTTCCATTTCTCCTTCCTCCTCTCTATCCTTCTCTCGTGTTGGATATAATTAAAGAAGTAACTATTAAAAACAGTAGCAGTTGGTCCAGAAAGGAAGCTGACCACAATTCCCTCCAGAAGATGCATTATATTGAGAGAAGGGTATCAAGGCCATGAACATTAGAGACAGTACAGTGTGCTGAGACCTAAACATGATGGAGCCTTAAAATGGAGGAGAGACATCCCTTTACAACCCGAGAAAAGCTTCATTAAAGGGAGAGTCATAGAGGCATAGGGGAAAGGAAAGGAAAAAAAAACTGAGATCAGGGGAGGCCAGAGGGACCTCTTCAGAGTGGATATCCACAGCAAATCCCCCTGAACAAAGCCCCCAAACAAAGGGAGTGTCAAGATTTTATAAGTTCAGCTAGTGGGAAGTTCCCGTCATCTGATTTAGTACAACATACAGTAAATGACAAAGAGGATGGAAGTCAGATGTCATAAGTTGAGAACTGTTGGATCATAGTAAGGGATGATGTCACATCATGGGGTGTCACAGAACAGGATGATGTCACAGCACAGAACAATGTCACAGCAAGGATGATGACACGGCACAGGATGATGTCACAGAATGGGATGTTTGTCACCCTGTCCCAGAGGGGAGGCATGAGCTTTTCTCTTTAGACTGTGGAATCTGGCTTCTTGAAGGGTGACCACTATTTTATAGGAAGCTGGTCCCTGTTCTAGCACCTTCCTTCTCCTCTCTGTCTTTCCCGCTGCTCAGCACAGTCTTCACAGCTGATTTTCCTGTTCTCTATGCCATCATCTTCCTCGTCCATCACTCTTGGAAGAAACAAAATAAAAGAATAGATAACAGGTAGGGTATGTGCATTTAGTAATGGCCTCTGGGAGAAAAATACACGTGGTAGGTGGTTCAGATTTTTTCCTACTTCTTTATCTTGAAGATCAAATCCAATAAAATTAATTTTCTGAAAACTAAAATTCGGCTCTAATGGAACACAATTAAGGAACTACATGAACCTTCCTTTTCAATAATGTGAGTTTAATTTGTATTAAGTAACTCCAAGCTGTTTCTAGTAGCTGTGAGTGTTTATGTGAGTGCAGCTGTGAGCAGCTCAAGTCACAAATTGACACAAACTTAAAACTAACATGCAAGATAAGCACCCCACCAGTGCTCCCTCCTGAGCCCCAGCCCCAGCCCTTTAGTGACTTCTTTTCTAATGAGTTGTGTGCTAATATGAGCAGGTTCCTCCCAGCTCTCATTAATCTCCCCAAGGTGAAACCTTGCTCACTGCCAAGCTTGGCCGCTGCTCCTCACAGTCCAAGAACAAAATCAGCTTCCGGGGCTTGCTTGTCCTGTGACTATTTCTCAAGGCACTGCCGTGTTATAGGGACTTCGTTCTGAGTCCCGCAGGAAGCTAAAATATGAGCACAGGAATACGTGCCAGCGCCAACCTGCCAGCCACAAGAACAGCGCATGTGAGAGATTTCCAATGGAGAACCTCGTTTATGTTTGCAACATCAGTCCCTCCAAGCCGTTTGAACTACTTTATGCCACGGTCGTCACTGAGTGTGCCTGCAAAGGAGAGATAAAGAGCTTAGGTCTCCAGAACCAGTCTGAATTTCCCATCTGGATTCCCCAGCCTAGCGGGGCACTGCCGGGAGGTCAAACCATACAAGAGCGCTGCTCAGAAGAGCTGAGAGCTTTTGGGCAGATTTCGCCCATCTCTGAGCCGTGGGATCATCATCTGCCAGGAGCAAGTGATATTGTTAAGGCCGTGAAAGCACGGGATTGGTGGGAATATATCCAGCACGCGGAGCAGGTAACAATCCAGGCAGCTGAGGACAAAGGCCATCCGTCACTATTGCTCCTGCATGATGGCTCCGTCTGTCTGTGGGGACAGGAACGCTGACCAGAGATGTCTGATCAGGAAGATGATTTATTGTCCAACGAGAAAGACGGGAAGGAATTGTCTTGGGGCATTCTGGGAAAACTCCATGACCACAGGCTGGGGTTATTAATAGCCATAGGGATTTTTAAACAATGGAGTCATGTCTTTAAGGCACAGTGACTCATGGGACTACCACATTGTAAGTTGTAACAAGTGGAGCCTACGAACTTCTCTAGTCTGAGCTGCTGCCTTTACTTCAAGTTAAAGGCATGGGGAGCTATGGTCAAGTATCTCGAAGGGGAGAAACACCCTGTAGGCCCTTGCTCCACTGGTAAGCAGCCGGAGACTTGAGACTTGTGTTTTCGGCTCTGAGACACCAAAATGAAAGTAACCCCGACTTTCCACATTTGCCATGGAGCATTGTGACTCAAGGGTCTGGCATGAGTGTCATTTCTACAGTTTGGGAAACAGAGCCACACTGAAACAGCTTTCCGTGAAAATAACTTTAGTTTTGAAGTCATGTGACTGACGATACTGCTCAGTGAGTTACACACTAAAAGCCTCAGGAGCCGAGTTGGGGTACCTAGGACCAGAAAAGCCAGATAGACCTATAACAACAGCTCCTTCAAGAAAGTGGAAGGCAGAGGCAGGAGAATCCCTGGATTTGAGGACTAGCTAGTCCAGTAAAGTATGACTCAAAGTGGAAGGTAAGGACCAACATCCAAGTTGTCTTCTGACCTCCACACATGCACTTGAACACACACATGCTCTCACTTACACAAACACACACATTACACACACATCCACACAATACATACACACACTACAAAAATAAAATAAAACTAGGTAAACTTTCTTTACATATTTTATAATATATTATATATAATATACATTAATATTTATATTTATTGTGTGTGTGTGTGTGTTTGTACATGAATTCTTTTAGAATTGAGGCTCCCTGGTGTATCTTTGGATTCTGTTTCAGATCTCCTGAGTGCAGCCAGTGAAGGCATTTGCCACCAAACCTGATGGCCTGAGTTTGCTTTCTGGAGACCACCTAGTAGGAGAGAACCAACTCCTGCAGGAGCCTCCTGACCTCCACATGGCACCTTGCTTCATGCACCTATGAACCTCCCCACTAAGCAAATAAATAAATATGTGGTTGTACAATTTTTTAATAGAAAGCCCCATGAAAACACTCCCCAAAAAAGAAACTAAAGTGAGAAATATGCTCAATATACATACAATATGCTTGCAATTGAAACTTAAAAATAAATAAAAATCTAAAATAATAATAATTCTACTTTGACATTTGTACTTCCAATATCACGAGAATTAAGGATCATATGTCTAGTCAGTTAGTTCTACCTCTCACAAAATACAATTGTGTCTGACTACAGTTGCCTGGAGAATGAGAATAGTTTAGCCTAGATGTGGCAACTGAAATATGACAGCTGGGTGAGTGGCCACATGGAGATCCGAGCAGCTCTGAGACACTCCCAGGGAGGCTGCATGCACTCAGCACACAGAGAGGGTGACACTGCCCCCAGTGACCTTATGAAGCAACACTTGGGATAAAGAAAAGTAACTTGCAAAGTCTTTCTCTAAAGACAGATGATGTAGAAGGTCCTTCTGTCTATATGTTGCTTTCATTGGTTAATAAAGGAACTACTTTGGGACTAAAGCAGAACTGTAGGGGAACAGAGCTAGGTGGGGAAAACTAAATGGAATGCTGGGAGGAAGAAGGCAGAGTCAGAGAGAGAAACCATGGATCCGCCACCGGAGATAGACATGCTGAAACTTTGCTGGTAGGCCACTACCTCATGATGATGCACAGATTAATGGAGATGGGTTAAATTAATATGTAAGAGTAAGTCAGCCAATAAGAAGTTAGTGCTAATGGACCAAGAAGTGTTTTAATTAATATGGTTTCTGTGTGATTATTTCGGTTCTGAGCAGCCAAGATAAACAAGCAGCCTCCTTCAACAGACAGATAAGGCAGAGTGTAACATGGGGGCCAGGCTGTTTGTTGGGGTTTCTGTCCCGCCCAGTCCCCCAGATATTTAGTCCCAGAGAAAATCACACAGAGGTTTCTGTAAGTTATAAAACTGATTGGCCCATCAGCTCAGGCTTCTTATTAGTTTTTATGACTTATATTAACCCATTATTCTTATCAATTTTTGCCATATGACTCGGTACCTTTTTTAGCTGGGGAAGAACACATCCTGCTGCTTCGGTGGTCTGGGCAGGAATGGGAGGAATCAGCTTGCTCCTTCCCATAATTCTCCTGTTCTCACTGCATCACCTCTATTTCCTATCTGGTTTTCTCACCTATACTTCCTGCCTGGCCAGTCAGTGTTTATTTAAAACATGATTGACAGAATACAGTCAATTCTCCCACACCACTTCCCCCTCTAAAAAAAGAAAAAAGGAAAATATATCCATTTTGGGGGGGAGGTGGGAATGTAGGTATAGTATTCCAGACTACTTCCTGCTGGTTGGGGGCACTGATAATCTTATGGGGACCTAAAGAAAACTTAGAGTTATGATCAAGACATGTGAGTCTTGATCATCTCAGGTAGCAGTCTTGAACCTGTTCTGGATGAACTCAGACATCTGGGCCATCTAATCCTGCTGGAGATTTCTCAGGTGGTCTTCCTTGATTAAAGCTTATTTTTCTTAACTCTGAATAAATCCAGAGCCTCTCATTTTCTGTGGAAACAAAAGCAAAATCTCTTCTCCAAAGTAACATACCTTTTGACTTCAATTTTGAAGTCAAGGTATTTTCAAAATATCTATCTTGGATTAATTCTGCAGCATTTATAAGCAAATATCTCTTAGCAGCTGTTGCTCCTTCCTCAGCATTCAAACAATTCAAAGAGAGCATAATAGCATACAGTATCAAGATTCTCTGTGCATTTTCTATCTTTACATGGCTTTATTTTAACCTCTATTTCTTTTATTTTTACTTTTAACTTTTGGCTTTTTGAGACAAGTTCTCTGTGTATCTTTGTCCTGGAACTCCCTCTGTAGACCAGGGTATCCTTGAACTCACAGAGATCCATCTGTCTCTGCCTCCCCAGTGCTGGGATTAAAGGTGTCTGCCACCATACCTTGAATTTACAGAGGTCTTCCTACCTCTGCCTCCCAAGCTTTGGGATTAAAGGTGTATACCACCACACCTAGCTTCTTTCTTTCTTTCTTTCTTTCTTTCTTTCCTTTCTTTCTCTCTTTTTTTAACTTTGAGAACTTTAACCTTTAGCCTGTATATATATTTAGCACACTGTAAACCATTTAGAGGTTTTCTTCCTCTTTGAATCTCTCTTTACTGTATATCTCTCTTTTTCTGACCACATGAGTCTTTAATTTGCTAAGGAATGTGGAGAAATTTTTTGCCACAACTCTATTGCATTTTAAGGTCCTTGCCAGGAAGCAAGCTGCAACAGTGTGTCCATAGTCAGGACCACCTGCTTGAAAGAGTCAAGAGTTTTCCCTGGCAGGACGGCCCAGAAAACCAGCATTTTAAAACCCCGCAGCTTTTTTCCTGCTACAGCTGTAAGCTGAAATGTTTTACTCTAGTCTTTTCCAAGCTTTGTCAGGCTTTCTGTGGATGCAGTTATCCATGTGGGCACCATTTGTAATGTGTGAGGAGGCCTGCTTGTTTGTGTTTTCTGTCCTGCCCAGTTCCCACAGCTGTTTAACCCCAAAGAAAATCACACAGAAATCTCTATAAGTTATAAAGCTGATTGGCCCATTAGGTCAGGCTTCTTATTAGTTCTTGTAACTTATATTAACCCATTATTCTTATCTATGCTAGCCACCTGGCTCATTACCTTTTCTAGCTGGCAGATTACATCATGCTGCTTCGGTGGTCTGGACAGGAGTGGGAGGAATCAACTTCCTCCTTCCCAGAATTCTCCTGTTCTTATTGCATCACCTCTACTTCCTGTCTGGTTTCCCTGCCTATACTTCCTGCCTGGCCAATCAGCGTTTATTTAAAACATGATCAACAGAATACAGACAATTCTCTCACACCAGAAGAGCCTTAATTTCCCATCTTCTTAATGGGTACTGCTTTGGGGGGCTGAGAAGGAATGTGCTATAAAGTCAAGAGAAGTCATTTACAGCAAAGGTGAGGCTAGAGGTTTGGCTAGGATGGCCTTGGGTCACTTAGGTGTCTGCTCAGTTTCTCATTAATGAAGATAGAAAAATGCATTGAGTGGGCTTCCCAAAGTTCTTCCCACTCCAGTTGGAAAAAGGGTGGTAAAATGTCTTGAACTCACATCTGCCTGCCTCTCACTCCCAAGTGCTGGGATTAAAGGCATGAGCCACCACTGCCCAGCCCAGATTTCTCTTTTTAGTAGAAGCAAATGATGTGCAGCAGGAAGACAGATTAAACTAGATGAGTCAATTGAAAGATTACTAGATAGGGCCAGGCAGTGGTGGGGCACACCTTTAATCCCAACACTTGGGAGGTAGAGGCAGGCAGATCTCTGTGAGTGTGAGGCCAGCCTGGTCTACAAGAGCTAGTTTCAGGACAGACACCAAAGCTACACAAAGAAACCCTGTCTCGAAGAAAAAGAAAGAAAGAAAGATTACTAGACATGTATGTGGCTATATGGTTGATGAATAGGAAGATAGATATAAAAGAGATAAACAACATAAGATAGATGACCAAAAGTTATATTCATAGATAGATTGATAATAGATGGATAGATGCTAGATAGATAGATAGAAGATAGATAGATGGAAAGATAAGATAGATAGATAGATAGATAGATAGATAGATAGATAGATAGATACATAGATAGATAATAGTCAGCAGGTGACTGATATAGATGATAGGTAAAAACAAATCAGTGTCTTCTTGATTTTAGTGGAAATGCTTTTTTTCCTCCACTTAGA